GAAAACTGAGGGAAACTCTAATATCTATTATGGGACTGCCAACTAGAATAGAAACTGAGCGAGTTGGAATTAATCCTCCAGTTCCTTCAGCAGGAAGCAATAATCGGGGAGGAGATATAAAGATGTTTTTGACATGTAAACCTCCAACATTTTCAGGAGAAAGAGATCCAGTTAAAGCAATGTGTTGGATAAAAGAAATTGTATCAGTATTTAACACTAGTAGATGTTCTGAAGAAGATAAGGTTAGATTTGTAGTATTTATGCTCAAATCTAATGCCTTATATTGGTGGGATGTGGAATCCTCGGCACAATCAAATATACTGCAAATAATGTCTTGGGAAGAATTTGTGAGTAAATTTAAAACACAATTCTGTCCTATGACAGCAATAAGACAAATGGAGGAAGATTTTCTTAAGTTAGAGCAATAGAGCAGATCTGTGCGGGAATATACTGAGAAATTTATTGAGTTTTCCCGATTTGCTGAGCATTATGTATCTTCAGAATCCCGAAAATTAGAAAGATATATTTGGGGTCTGAAACCTTCTATCCGAGAGTTCGTGATTGCTATGAACCCTGAAACTTTCTCTTTGGCCGTTAATGCTGCCGAAATTACTGAAAGAAATAAGAATCGGCAAGGTGAAGAGAAATTTGTTGAGAAAAGAAAGTGGGAAGGATCTTCAGTTAGTTTTCGAAGACCTAAATTCATTAAACCAAATAATCGTGTTCCTCAGTTGCCTTCTGTTAAAACTTGCCCGCAGTGTCAACAAATACACCAGGGAAGTTGTCCATCTGAACCCAAAAGATGTTATCGTTGTGGAGAGACAGGGCATTTGTCAAGGCACTGCACTATACCCAAAAGATGTTTTCAGTGCAATTCACCTGACCACATTCGACCAAATTGTGCACAATTGAGAGCTCCTCGTCTGACAATGGGAGGAAATACTCCCGGTAACCGTGGAGGCCTAGTGCACCGAAGGGAGGCCAGAGTGGAACCAGGGGTAGATCATTTCAAATGACATAGAACGAGGCAGAAGCAACCCCATATATAGTAACAGGTACATTCCTTCTGAATTCAAAACGTGCTAAGGTGTTATTTGACTCTGGTGCAAATTATTCATTTGTATCACCAGCATTTGCTCAAATTGCATGTTTGAATTCTGTGTTACTTGATGACGAATTAGTAGTTGATACTGCTAATAGTCAAGAAACTGTTACTGGTATGTTCAATAACTGCATTATTGTTATTGAGGGTTGTGAGTTTTCGATCAGGTTATTTCCCATGCCGATGAAGGAATTTGATGTAGTAGTGGGTATAGATTGGTTGGCAAAGTATCAGGCTAGTATTGTTTGTAATCAGAAAATGATCAGAATTATTATGCCGGACCATAGAACCGTTGTTATTTATGGTGATCGTCAGAATCACCATACCAGTATTTTGTCAGTAATGAAAGCCCAAAAAAGTATTCGGAAGAAATGCCAAGGATGTTTAGCATATGTAATTGATTTGAAGAAAGAAAAGAGAAAAGAAGAAACAATTCCGATTATTAGTGAATATCCAGAAGTCTTTCCAGGAGACTTATTTGGATTACCACCAGATAGAGTTATTGAGTTCCGTATTGATTTAATACCAGGGGCTGCACCTGTAGCAAAGGAGCTATATCGTTTAGCTCCATCTGAACTGAAAGAATTGGTGGCACAGTTGAAAGATTTAACAGATAAGGGATTCATTAGACCCAGTACTTCACCTTGGGGTGCTCCGGTCTTATTTGTCAAGAAGATGGACGGGTCTATGCAAATGTGTATAGACTATCGTGAATTGAATAAGTTGACAATCAAAAACAAGTATCCCTTACCAAGGATTGATGATTTGTTTGATCAATTGGTGGGAGCAAGTTATTTCTCCAAAATTGATTTAAGATCTGGATATCATCAGCTCAAAGTCAGGGAAGAAGACGTGGCCATAACAACATTCAGAACAAGGTACGGACATCACGAATTCTTAGTTATGCCATCCGGCTTAACTAATGCGCCTGCAG